CAAGCCAGTACCTACCGCACACCAGCACTGCCATCTGTTGAGGAGTTACAAAGGTCCGTTCAATGCTAAGGCTTTCTGCCAAAATGGAACTGTAGAGGAGAGTCTACTGAACAAGCCAGTACCTACCACATATGTTGTCAATGGGCCTGTGTGGGTCTACGATTGGAAATAGATCCAATGCCATTGAATATAGGCAAATGCCTGTGATCTCTCCTCAAAGATGAGGAATAGATCTATATGAAGGAACAAGTTTCCCCTCTGATCGGAGGATTATTTTAGTTTTAAACCGCATCCTCTTCATATGCAAATATATGCAGATTTAATCGACGGAAACATAAGCTTAATCAACTCAGACTTCCTTAATTGGCTGCTTGGGCTCGTTACCAATATAATACACGTTCGAAGTCATTGAAGGCTTGCTGCCCTGGAATCCGTCAACCGCTGCCCTGCAAAGATAGCAATAATAATGAGTCTGAATAATAATACAATATTTAAATAGCATTTTAAATACAGGAAGGACTTTATAATCTACATACCTGGGGAGATATTACCTGTTCCATGGAGTCGTTACTAACGGGCACATCTAGGAAACATCTACGATTATAGTGGCAATAATAATAATAGTATTAATCATAGTATTATTATTATTACCTGTTACAAGGAGTCCTTACTAACGAGCCCATCTGGGAAACATCTAGGATTATAATTGCAATAATAATAATATTATTATTATTATTACTATTATTATCATGAAATAGGAAATAGGAAATAATAATAATACTATTATTATTATTATTATTAATAATAATAGTATTAATAATAGTAATAATTATAATAATATAATAATAATATAGTAATAATAATAGTAATAATTATAATAATAATATAATAATATCATATAATAATAATATAGTAATAATAATAATAAATAATAATAGTATTATTATTTCCTATTTCATGACGCCATTACTAGGAAACATCAAGGACAGTGGTTCTCGCCTACAATCAAAGCGCATTCTGAACTCCACCAATGATGGAACTGGACCAAACGTGGCACACAGAACTCCCATGACCAACAGAAAATACTGGAAGGTTTGGTGGGCATTGACCTTGAGTTTTGGAGTTGTAGTTCATCTACATCCAGAGAGCACTGTGGACTCAAACAATGATGTATCTGGACCAAACTGGGCATTAATACTCAATATGCCCATATGTGAACACTGGTGGAGTTTGTGGAAAACAGACCTTGTCATTTGGTAGTTGAAGTTGCTGGGATGTATAGTTCACCTACAATCAAAGAGCATTCTGAACTCCACCAATGATGGAATTGAATCAAACTTGGCACACAGAACTCCCATGACCAACAGAAAATACTGGAAGGGTTTGGTGGGCATTGACCTTGAGTTTGGGAGTTGTAGTTCACCTACATCCAGAGAGCACTGTGGACTCAAACAATGATGTATCTGGACCAAACTGGGCATTAATACTCAATATGCCCATATGTGAACACTGGTGGAGTTTGTGGAAAACAGACCTTGTCATTTGGTAGTTGAAGTTGCTGGGATGTATAGTTCACCTACAATCAAAGAGCATTCTGAACTCCACCAATGATGGAATTGAACCAAACTTGGCACACAGAACTCCCATGACCAACAGAAAATACTGTAAGGGTTTGGTGGGCATTGACCTTGAGTTTGGGAGTTGTAGTTCACCTCAAACAATGATGGAACTGGATCAAACTTGGTATGAATACTCACTATGCCCAAATATGAACACTGGTGGAGTTTGGGGGTGGGGGGTGAGGATAGACTTAACATTTGGGAATTGTAGGTGCCAAGATTTATAGTTCACTTACAGTCAAAGAGCATTTTGAACCCCACCAATGATGGAATTAAATCAACACTTGGTACACATACCCAATATACCCAGATTTGAATATGGATGGGTGTGGGTGGGAGAGATTGACTTGGATTCTTGGGAGTTGTAGTTCACCCACCACCAGAGACACCGCGACCTCCGCCAATGACGGATCTGGACCAAACTTGGCACACAGAACCCTCATGACCAGCTTAAGCTACTGGGGGGCTTTGAGGGGACTGTCCCACCATAATGGGAGCTGTAATTGATCCTTCAGCCAGAGACCACACGGACTCCACTGATGATGCATCTAGAGAGCAGACTTGCCCAACACGACAAACTTGAGGTATTGAGGGACTTTCAGGGGGTTAACCTGGCATTATGTGAGTTGTAGACCATTGAAGAGCTTTCTGAATCCTACCAATGATTGAATTGGGTCAAACTTCCCACACAGAACTCCCATGACCAACAGAAAATACCATCTGTTGAGAAGTTATGAAGGTCTGTTCAATGCTAAGGCTTCCCGCCAAAACGGAACTGTAGAGGAGAGTGCCTGCTGCATACCAGTACCGCCATCTGTTGATGAGTTATGAAGGTCCGTTCAATGCTAAGGCTTCCTGCCAAAATGGCACTGTAGAGGAGAGTCTACTGAACAAGCCAGTACCTGCCGCATACCAGTACCGCCATCTGTTGAGGAGTTACGAAGGTCCATTCAATGCTAAGGCATCCAGCCAAAATGGCACTGTAGAGGAGAGTCTACCAAACAAGCTGGTACCTGCCGCATACCAGTACTGCCATCTGTTGAGGAGTTACGAAGGTCTGTTCAATGCTAAGGCTTCAAGCCAAAATGAAACTGTAGAGGAGAGTCTACTGAACAAGCCAGTACCTACCGCATACCAGTACTGCCATCTGTTGAGAAGTTACGAAGGTCCGTTGAATGCTAATGCTTCATGCCAAAATGGAACTGTAGAGGAGAGTCTATTTAACAAGCCAGCACCTGTTGCATACCAGTACTGCCATCTGTTGAGGAGTTACAAAGGTCTGTTCAATGCTAAGGCTTCAAGCCAAAATGGAACTGTAGAGGAGGGTCTACTGAACAAGCCAGTACCTGCCGCATACCAGTACCGCCATCTGTTGAGGAGTTACGAAGGTCTGTTCAATGCTAAGGCTTCAAGCCAAAATGAAACTGTAGAGGAGAGTCTACTGAACAAGCCAGTACCTACCGCATACCAGTACTGCCATCTGTTGAGAAGTTACGAAGGTCCGTTGAATGCTAATGCTTCATGCCAAAATGGAACTGTAGAGGAGAGTCTATTGAACAAGCCAGCACCTGTTGCATACCAGTACTGCCATCTGTTGAGGAGTTACAAAGGTCTGTTCAATGCTAAGGCTTCAAGCCAAAATGGAACTGTAGAGGAAGGTCTACTGAACAAGCTAGTACCTACCGCATACCAGTACCGCCATCTGTTGAGAAGTTACAAAGATCCATTCAATGCTAAGGCTTCCTGCCAAAATGGAACTGTAGAGGAGAGTCTACTGAACAAGCCAGTACCTGCCACATACCAGTACTGCCATCTGTTGAGGAGTTATGAAGGTCTGTTCAATGCTAAGGCTTCCTGCCAAAATGAAACTGTAGAGGAGAGTCTACTGAACAAGCCAGTACCTGCCGCATACCAGTACTGCCATCTGTTGAGGAATTACAAAGGTCCGTTCAATGCTAAGGCTTCAAGCCCAAATGAAACTGTAGAGGAGAGTGTGCTGAACAAGCCAGTACCTGATGCATACCAGTACTGCCATCTGTTGAGTAGTTACGAAGGTCCATTCAATGCTAAGGCTTCCAGCCTAAATGGAACTGTAGAGGAGAGTGTACTGAACAAGCCAGCCGAATACCAGTACTGTCATCTGTTGATGAATTACGAAGGTCCGTTCAATGCTAAGGATTCCTGCCAAAATGGAACTGTAGAGGAGAGTCTACTGAATACCTGGTGCATAGCAGTACCGCCATCTGTTGAGGAGTTACGAAGGTCCATTCAATGCTAAGGCTTCCCGCCCAAATGGAACTGTAGAGGAGAGTCTACCGAACAAGCCAGCCGAATACCAGTACTGTCATCTGTTGAGGAATTATGAAGGTCTGTTCAATGCTAAGGCTTCCTGCCAAAATGGAACTGTAGAGGAGAGTCTACTGAGCAAGCCAGTACCTGCCGCATACTAGTATTACCATCTGTTGAGCAGTTACGAAGGTCCATTCAATGCTAAGGCTTCCTGCCAAAACGGAACTGTAGAGGAGAGTCTACTGAATACCTGGTGCATACCAGTACCACCATCTGTTGAGCAGTTACGATGATCCGTTCAATGCTAAGGCTTCCAGCCCAAATGAAACTGTAGAGGAGAGTCTGCTGAACAAGCCAGTACCTGATGCATACCAGTACTGCCATCTGTTGAGGAGTTACGAAGGTCCATTCAATGCTGAGGCATCCAGCCAAAATGGAACTGTAGAGGAGAGTCTACCAAACAAGCCAGTTTCCTAAGATCTCCGGAGATACTCGCAGGGCCCCGACCCTCCTCTCTCGTTGTTCCTTTGAATCACACAATGTTTTGCACCTTCTTCTCCTCCTTCGTTGGACTCCTTTGCATTTCTATTAAAACGTTCCCCCCTCGATTATCCCTCCAGGGCCATAAAGTGTGTGTTTATTAGCGGGGAAGAAACAACTTTTCTAATCAACAAGGAAAGGTCTGCGGTTTTCCATTAGCTTTCCGCCGCGCGTCGATTGAGCCACGAAAGAGATGGCTTTCTTCTCTCCTCCTCCTCCCGAGTCCCTTCTCCCAGCCGCATCATCGCCCGGCTCCGCTAATTGCGCGAGATAGGCCTCCTAATTAAATCCCGGGCCCGGAAATCGATGGAAATGCCATCGGATCCGAGAGGACAGGCTTCTCCGCCGTTCTGTCAATGGATTTTGGGAACCCGAGGCCTAGATTTCGTTCAAAAACTATGCGAAAATCTCCGTTTGTTGTTGCAAAAGCAGTTCGCTGGAAATAAGCGAAAATCGGATTTTTTTCGGACTATAGTTCGTATAAGGCATGTGCGAATAGATCGGAAATCGTCATAACATTCGTAAAATTCGATGATTCCTCTGTTTCCACAGGTCAGAAGAACGTCCGTGTCACCAGCCTCCTCATTTGCCAGGGCCTCCTCTGGGTCGGCACCGATTTGGGCATCCTGGTCCTGCTTCCCGTTCCCCGATTGGAAGGCATCCCCAAAATCACAGGTGAGCCTCCGCAGCCAATCACAGGAGGGCCATTGGCTCCCTTGTTGAATCAGCTGATGTGCTCTATCCAATGCAATTGACTGACTCAGCTGAGGTGCTCTATCCAATGCAATTTTCTGGATCGGCTGATGTAGTCTATCCAGTGTAATTTTCTGAATCGGCTGATGTAGTCTAGCCAGTGCAATTTTCTGACTCAACTGATGTGGTCTATCCAATGCAATTTACTGACTCAGCTGAGGTGGTCTATCCAATGCAATTTTCTGACTCAGCTGATGTGGTCTATCCAGTGTAATTTTCTGACTCAACTGATGTGGTCTATCCAGTGCAATTTTCTGAGTCAGCTGATGTGGTCTATCCAGTCTAATTTTCTGACTCAACTGATATGGTCTATCCCATGCAGTTTATTGACTCAGCTGATGTAGTCTATCGAGTGTAATTTTCTGAGTCAGCTGATGTGTTTTATCCAATGCAGTTTTCTAAATCGGCTGATGTTGTCTATCCAGTGTAATTTTCTGAATCAGCTGAAGTGCTCTATCCAATGCAATTTTCTGAATCGGCTGATGTAGTCTATCCAGTGTAATTTTCTGACTCAGCTGATGTTGTCTATCCAATGCAATTTTCTGAATCAGCTGAGGTGGTCTATCCAGTGCAATTTTATGAATCAGCTGATGTAGTCTAGCCAGTGTAATTTTCTGACTCAACTGATGTGGCCTATCCATTGCAATTTTCAGACTCAGCTGATGTGGTTTATCCAGTGTAATTTTCTGACTCAACTGATGTGGTCTATCCAGTGCAATTTTCTGAATCAGCTGATGTGGTCCATCCAATGCAATTTATTGACTCAGCTGAGGTGGTATATCCAGTGCAATTTTCTGAATCAGCTGATGTGCTCTATCCAATGCAATTTTCTGAATAGGCTGATGTGGTCTATCCAATGCAATTTTCTGAATCGGCTGATGTGGTCTATCCAATGCAGTTTACTTACTCAGCTGAGGTGGTCTATTCAATGCAATTTACTGACTCAGCTGAGGTGGTCTATCCAGTGCAATTTTCTGAATCAGCTGAAGTGCTCTATCCAATGCAATTTTCTGGATTGGCTGATGTAGTTTATCCAGTGTAATTTTCTGACTCAATTGATGTGATCTATCCAGTGCAATTTTCTGAATCGGCTGATGTGGTCTATCCTATGCAATTTACTGACTCAGCTGAGGTGCTCTATCCAATACAATTTTCTGGATCGGCTGATGTAGTCTATCCAGTGTAATTTTCTGACTCAACTGATGTAATCTATCAAGTGCAATTTTCTGAATCAGTTGACATCTGTCCAATGCAATTTACTGACTCAATTGATGTGATGTATCCAATGTAATTTACTGACTCAGCTGAAGTAGTCTATCCAGTGTAATTTTCTGACTCAACTGATGTGATCTATCTAGTACAATTTTCGGAATCAGCTGATGCACTCTATCCAGTGTAACTTTCTGACTCATGCTGATTTGGTTGCATCATTTACTGCCTGATGTAAGCACACATTTCTTGTTGCATGAGACCCTTGCTTTGCCATCTTGCCACTACAATTGATCACCTTGATGTGCCTTTATGCCCACTTCCTCTTCCTGCAGGGAAAGGCATGGTCTCCCTCAATGGCCACTGTGGTCCCGTGGAGTTCCTGGCAGTGGCCCTCAGCACCTTAGCGCCGGACATCTTGAAGAGCGACAAGGAGGAGGAGGACCCGGCGGCCGAGGCCCCTTCGGAGGAGGAAGCGGAGGGGTCCGAGGGGACCGAGAGCCACCATTTATCAAGGGGACCGAGGAAGAAGGGGGTCCTCCTGCAGTACCGCCTCCGCTCCACCTCCCACCTCCCGGGACAGCGACTCTCGATTCGGGAAGCCTCTCCAGGCCCAGGAACCCCCGCTGAGCACACTGAGGAGGACGGCTCCGTCTACGAAATGGCTGATGACCCGGACGTCTGGGTGCGGAGCCGGCCGTGTGCCCGGGAGGCCCACCGGAAGGAGATCTCCTCGTTGGCCGTGGTGTCTGGTGGGAGGGGATACCGCAATGTCAACCCCAATGGGAAGCTGCCAACCAACAGCGAGACAGACAGCACCCTGCTCATGTGGCAGGTGCCTTTGATCCTATAGCATATGCCATCCCCCTCTACCCGTCTGGACAGTTGCAACACACAAAGGCCTTGTTTCCAGGTGAGTAGGGAGTCCATGCCAGGCTTTTTGGAGAGCAGCACAGTCTGGTGGAAAACATGGAGTGGATTCCCTTTACCTACTGACATGGAAGGTATCTTTTTTGGGGGAAAATGGACTCCTTCCACTTTCAGATCTTTCACCCTCTTTGGATACAGAGCTCCCCAAGGTCCTGACTTGAATTCAGCCCTGAGGAAAACATGAAGTGGATTCCTTTTCCCTACTGACATGGAAGGTATCTTTTTTTTTTGGGGGGGGGGGAAATGGACTCCTTCCACTTTCAGATCTTTCACCCTCTTTGGATATAGAGATCTCCAAGGTCCTGAATTGAATCCAACCCTGAGGAAAACATGGAGTCGATTCCCTTTCCCTACCGACCTGGAAGGTATCTTTTTTGGGGGGGAAATGGACTCCTTCCGCTTTCAGATCTTCCTCCATCTTTGGGTATAGAGCTCTCCGAGGTCCTGTCTTAAATTCACATCAAGATATAGAGCTCTCTGAGGTCCTGGCTTAAATTCAACTGCGAGGAAAACATGGAGTGGATTCCYTTTCCCTACYGACATGGAARGTATCTTTTTTTGSGGGRAAMTKGACTCCTTCCRCTTTCAGATCTTTCCCCATCTTTGGATATAGAGCTCTCCAATGTCCTGACTTGAATTCAGCCCTGAGGWAAACATGGARTGGATTCCYTTTCCCTACYGACATGGAAKGTATCTTTTTTTGGGGGGGGGAAATGGRCTCCTTCCACTTTCAGATCTTCCTCCATCTTTKSGTATAGAGCTCTCCAAGGTCCTGKCTTAAATTCACATCAGGATATAGAGCTCTCTGAGGTCCTGGCTTAAATTCAACATAAGGAAAACATGGATTCCCTTTCCCTACTGACCTTGAAGGTATCTGTTTTTGGGGAAAATTGACTCCTTCCTCTTTCAGATTTCCCCCCATCTTTGGGTATAGAGCTCTCTGAGGTCCTGGTTTAAATTCACATCAGGATATAGAGCTCTCTGAGGTCTTGGCTTAAATTCAATGGCGAGGAAAACATGGAGTGGATTCCCGTTCCCTACTGACATGGAAGGTATCTTTTTTGGGGGGGAAATTGACTCCTTCCACTTTCAGATCTTTCCCCATCTTTGGGTATAGAGCTCTCCAATGTCGTGGCTTGAATTCAGCACTGAGGAAAACATGGAATGGATTTTCTTTCCCTACTGACCTGGAAAGTATCCGTTTTGGGTGGAAACCGGACTCTCTGGAATGGCGTCGCTCCCTAATTTCATATCTCTGTGCAAAACTCCTCTTCTCCTCCGTGAAGCCGGATGCAGGCCTTGTTTTCTAAGCTCCTTCTCCTTCGAAACCTCTTGTGGATTTGTAGGACTCCTTTTCAGAGTCCAAACTCTTTCCTTTTTTGTTCCTAGGAAGCAAGAAAACCTCAAATTCTTGCTTTTTGTTTTCAAAGAAGAACCCATAGGAATTGGTGTGCTCTTGCCGGTTCTGGAGTGGCCAGGCTTTATATCCTATTTCCTCCTTTTCCCTTCCTTGCTCCCAAAGGAAAGCAAAAGGATCCATGTATCAATGTGTGAATATATATATATTATAAATATATATATTAAACCTTCTGTATATTATTACATTGTATACATTTAAAACAATCTGTATATATTGGGTTCATCTTCAGATGCAGGAATAAAGGTGGTTGAAAAAAATACGAGTGGCATCTGTTTCGCCTTTGTTGCTTTCAACTGGAATCTGAAAGTTAAGCACTGGATTTGCAGAGCAAGTCAGCAACTATAAAGGTAAGTTATAGAAAAATAAGGTTGGAAGGGAACTCTTGATCCATTTAGTCCATCCTTTTGGCCAGAAGACGACTTTCTTTCCCTACTGACCTGGAAAGTATCCATTTTGGATACTTTCCAGGTCAACCATTTCAAAGTTCCCTGTTTGGGCGGTGATGGCACAATCGTCAGCATAGATGAAACTCTCTGTTCCTTCTGGTGGTGGCTGGTCATTTGTATAGATGTTGAACATTGATGGAGCAAGCTCGTTTTCCCTGTAATACGCAGTAAGAGCACCTCAAGCTATGGAGGGCTTCTGTTCAACCATTTCAAGGTTCCCTGTTTGGGTGGTGATGGCATGATCGTCAGCATAGATGAAACTCTCTATCCCTTCTGGTGGTGGCTGGTCATTTGTGTAGATGTTGAACATTGATGGAGCAAGCTTGTTTTCCCTGTAATAGGCAGTAAGAGCACCTAAAGCTTCCAAGAGCTTCTGTTCAACCATTTCAAAGCTCCCTCCTTGAGTGGTGATGGCAGGATCGTCAGCATAGATGAAACTCTCTGTCCCTTCTAGCGGTTGCTGGTCATTTGTGTAGATGTTGAACATTGATAGAGCAAGCTTGTTATCCCTGTAATAGGCAGTAAGAGCACCTCAAGCTATGGAGGGCTTCTGTTCAACCATTTCAAGGTTCCCTGTTTGGGTGGTGATAGCATGATCGTCAGCATAGATGAAACTCTCTGTCCCTTCTGGTGGTGGTTGATCATTTGTGTACATATTAAACTTAGATGGTGCAAGCTGGTTTCCCCTGTAATAGGCAGTAAGAGCACCTAAAGCTTCGGAGAGCTTCTGTTCAACCATTTCAAAGCTCTGTTCTTGAGCGGTGATGGCACAATTGTCAGCATAGATGAAACTCTCTGTCCCTTCTGGTGGTGGCTGGTCATTTGCGGAAATGTTGGACATTGATGGAGCAATCTGTAATAGGCAGTAAGAGCACCTAAAGCTTCAGAAAGCTTCTGCTCAACCATTTCAAGGCTCCTTCCTTGAACGGTGATGGCAAGATCGTCAGCATAGATGAAACTCTCTATTCCTTCTGGCAGTGGCTGGTCATTTGTGTACATGTTAAACATAGATGGTGTAAGCTGGTTTCCCCTGTAATAGACAGTAAGAGCACCTAGATCTTCAGAGAGCTTCTGCTCAACCATTTCAAAGCTCCCTGTTTGGGTGGTGATGGCAGGATCGTCAACATAGATGAAAATCTCTGGCAGTGGCTGCTCATTTGTGGAAATGTTGAACATTGATGGAGTAAGCTGTAATAGGCAGTAAGAGCACCTAAAGCTTCAGAGAGCTTCTGCTCAACCATTTCAAAGTTCCCTGCTTGGGCAGTGATGGCACCATCATCAGCATAGATGAAACTCTTTGTCCCTTTAGGCAGTGGCTGGTCATTTGTGGAAATCTTGAACATTGATGGAGCAAGCTGTAATAGGCAGGAAGAGCACCTAAAGCTTCAGAGAGCTTCTGTTCAACCATCTCAAAACACCCTGCTTGAGCGGTGATGGCAGGATCGTCAGCATAGATGAAACTCTCTGTCCCTTCTAGCGGTTGCTGGTCATTTGTGTAGATGTTGAACATTGAATGGAGCAAGCTGGTTTTCCCTATAATAGGCAGTAAGAGCACCTAGAGCTTCGGAGAGCTTCTGTTCTACCATCTCAAAGCTCCCTGTTTGGGTGGTGATGGCATGATCATCAGCATAGATGAATCTTTCTGTCCCATCTGGCAGTGGCTGGTCATTTGTGTAGATGTTGAACATTGAATGGAGCAAGCTTGTTTTACCTATAATAGGCAGTAAGGGTACCTAAAGCTTCTGGAGAGCTTCTGCTCAACCATTTCAAAGCTCCCTGTTTGGGTGGTGATGGCAGGATCGTCAGCATAGATGGAAATCTCTGGCAGTGGCTGCTCATTTGTGGAAATGTTGAACATTGATGGAGCAAGCTGTAATAGGCAGTAAGAGCACCTACTGGATGGAGCAAGCATGCTTCCCTGAGGCAGGCCATTCTTCTGTTTCCGCCATCTGCTTCTCTGGCCCTGGAACTCAACAAAAAAGCTCCTGTTTTGTAACAGGTTTCCTATGAGGCGGGTCTTCCTTTGTGATATTGTACATTTTTCTCAGGAGGAGGTGGTGGTTTATGGTATCATAGGCTGCTGACAGGTCCATGAAGACAGCTCCTGTGATCTGCTGCCTTTCAAAGCCAAGTGCTGAGTCAGGTTCAGCACTTGCGATGTGCAGCTTCTGCCTTTCCTGAAGCCAGCTCAGGGTCTATTTTTCCCCATAATTCTATGCAGCACCTGGCAACACTTACAGACGTCGAGACGGAATTCGCCGTCGAATGGTTCACTGCAACGAGCTGAAATCCCATAACAACACATCAAAACACTCCCTATTATTCACTGGAAAGGGACCAGACTAGATGGCCTTTGGGGTTCCCTTCCCAGCCTGCGTTTTCTGCCATTCCGGAGCAGCGACGCCTGAAATCCCGAGGCCGGAGACGACGCTCGTTCCGACGCACGGTTCCCCTTCGGATGCATCTGCGAGGATGCGCTTCCCCCTCCCTTCTGACATCAGCCGCTTAAATCCATCCCAAATCCGATTTCTTGATAACACCAATTTCATTTTCATTTTCGCCTTTCAATTATATTCTCAGCAACTCAACCTTGAAATGGGGCCATTGCAGCCGCCGCTGTTGTTCGACGGGGGCCATTACTACTTTCTGCCGCTTATTTTTTTTTCCTAATTAGACATTAAATGCGTGTAACACGTTCTCCCCCTGCTCCCCTTCTACGTCTCCTGGCTTTGTTTCCTCACAAAGCTGTTTTTGCGCCCGGCGGAACGCGGCTTCTCCATCCCTTCTTCTTTTCGGCAAGCAAGAAAACACAAATAACAGTTTCATTGTATTCTTGTTTTGTGCTTTCATATGAGGACCATTTCATCCTAGATTTGATGGGCTTCCTTCACCCCAGGCATCCCAGTGTTCCTTTCTCTCTCCATTGGTATGAAATTTGCATGACCCAGCACACTGCCTCTCCCTTTACCCTTTCTAGTTCTTTTCTATGGCACACAGAAGAATTGATCAGCAACAGATACCCCAGTGTTCCTTTCTCTCTCCATTGGTATGGAATTTGCATGATCCAGCACACTGCCTCTCCCTTTACCCTTTTCTGTTCTTTTCTATGAGACACAGCGAACAGAGGAATTGATCAGCAACAGACATCCCAGTGTTCCTTTCTCTCTCCATTGGCATGGAATTTGCATGACCCAGCACACTGCCTCTCCCTTGACTCTTTCCTATTCTTTTCTATGGCACACAGTGAACAGAGGAATTGATCAGCAACAGACATCCCAGTGTTCCTTTCTCTCTCCATTGGTAGGGAATTTGCATGACCCAGCACACTGCCTCTCCCTTAACCCTTTCCTGTTCTTTTCTATGGCACATAGAGGAATTGATCAGCAACAGACATCCCAGTGTTCCTTTCCCTCTCCATTTGTATGGAATTTGCATGACCCTGCCCACTCCCTCTCCCTTAACTCTTTCCTGTTTTTTTCTATGACACACAGCGAACAGAGGAATTGATCAGCAACAGACACCCCAGTGTTCCTTTCTCTCTCCATTGGCGTGGAATTTGCATTATTCCCTCCCACTGCCTTTCCTTTAACTGTTTCCTGTTCTTTTCTATGGCACACAGAGGAATTGATTAGCAACAGACACCCCAGTGTTCCTTTCTCTCTCCATTGGTATGGAATTTGCATGATT